TAAAGGTACGGTTTCCTATGTGCGACTGGCCGCATACGACTGAACGCAACGACTAGTCGCAACTACTGATCTATATTTAAACTGCGAACGTGGTTTCCAATGCGCGATCGACGCGTGCGTGTCGAAAATAGTCGTTGCGGCTTGCGACTATAGTGATCCGATAGCAGTGTTGTCGATGAGTCGCATGCGTATTTCAATCAATAGTTTATTTTTTAAGTAGTTTATGACGGATCTAGTATAATTATGTCAAAAACTATTATGTCAAAATTTTTGCCAAACGAGGACGAAATTTCAGTTGTAGAAGTAGAGAAGCAACGTGCTATTTATGATAGTTCTCTCCAACAACACAAAGACTACGGATATATAAGTAAATGCTGGAGCAATATTTCGGCTGTAGTTGGAAAATCACGTAAGTACTATAAGTAGGTACCTATAGAGTAATATTTTTTAGAACGTTGCATAATAGTTAAGGTTGAAGCTAATATATTCAGTTAATAAACAATTTAATTCGTATATAGCTGAGGATTGCAAAAATAGATGGCGGAATATACGTGATACCTACATGAGGCACAAAAAAAAACTAGGAACTGGATCTCCAGCAATATTATCTAAAAAAAAATGGCCTTTAGCTGGTCATTTGTCATTTTTGGATAATGTTGAGTATGAAAGAATGTAAGTAAATAATATATCAGTTTTGTACTTTTATTCATAACTTTAAGTTTAACTAGAGATAGAGTTATCTATATTATATTATTTATACGATGATAAGATTGTTTTTTCTAAGTATTTTCTTTTTTGTAGCCACTTCGTGAAATGTATCTTATAAAAAATTTTCTCAAGTAATGATTTTTTTATTTTGTTGTAATTCAAAAACGAATGACTTTAGATACATTAACATAAATTACAATGAATGTTTATATTTTCATTTTCTTAACACCATTCAATTTTGAAAAAATGTAATACAAGGTTTAATACATACGTTAATAGGTTATAAATTATAATATATAAATTACTTTATTCACAATAATATCATCAGGAAACCAATACAATGGACTTCTTCAAAAAATCACAAATTTATAAATTATTATAAGATAACTACACTAAAATTACCATGTACATACCTATTTATAAGAGCCAATTGTTTCATTGTATATAATTAATTTTAATTATTTTTTCTTGTGACGCTAATGGCCATAGTTGTCAAATCGGAAATTATTAATTTTAAGACCAATAAAAAAAAAAAAATAATAATAATAATAATATCATAAAATATATATTTAGTAATATCATAGGTAGGCTAACTGACCGTCTTTGCTCAGAATCGTTTTTCTTATACAATGATATTATATCATTGGATTCAAATTTAACACAATCCATGACAGTGATTCACTTGTAACCTACTGTACAGCAGAGCGACACCCACTTGCCCACCTTTTTTATTTTGAAGTACTATTTTTTTTTAAATGTACAAGTATTAAGCAGAATATATTTATTTTTTAAATTTCTATTGCTTATTTTATTTATGGCAGGGCGATAACAAACAAGTACCAATTTAACTGTGTATAGTATTATGTATCTAAAAAAATAAATGAACTTTTAGGGGTGTGGGGGGGGGGCTTTATGTTTATCCAATACATTATATATCCCCTCCCAGAAGTAAATCAAAACTACGCCACTGTATTATATTATTACAATATAAAATTAAACTATTCATCGTAAATGACATTTCTTTTCTTTTAATGTTACTATCTATATAATATGATCTAAGAAAGGTTTTTCTAAAATTAAGATCAGAAAAAATGCAATTAAAATAAATAAAAAGCTTGAAAATGTAGTATTAGGCTCCTAATATTTTATTACAATGATATTTGAAAAATATTAGAAATCCAGTCACAATTTTTTTTATAAGCATTTAAAGTTCTAATCTTGACAAAATACGTAAAAATCACGAAAATTAGCAAATTATTTTGAGGACGAAATTCATAAAAAATTTCTTTTTTAAAACGTAATACAAGATTCCTTATAAGTTTGTTTACTTAACTGAGTTAAAACAAAATCATTAACTTTCTCAGCCTTGCTTTTTATTGATAAAGATTGACTAACTTATGAGGAATATGTATATATATGGTATGTACTAAAGAAAATGATTATAATATATTTTAATATTTTAGTACGATATCAAATGTGTGCAATGATCTTGACTCCACAATACCTGAAAATAGCCAAGATAATACCGGAGAGCCATTGGATGAACCAACTGTTAGAGCTGAAGAGGTCATACACGGAAAAAGATCKAGGGCCAAGTATGAAAAATCTGCAGAGTATATTAAAAGAATGAACGACAGAACAGCAATAATAAATAGCTTACAAGCGCAAAACGAAGCAATTTTGGCTAGGGAATCATCTACTGATGAGATAGATTTATTTTTTAGGAGCATTGCGATTTCAGTAAACAAGCTACTTCCCAGAGGCAAAACTGAAGCTAAACTTAGTATATTATCTTTAGTTGCACAGCTCGAAGATAAATACTTAGGTGACGCTGGAGTGCAATACACTCAACCAACGATTCAAACACCCACGCAAATGATGTTTCAAACGCCCTCTAGATCTACAACAGATTTCAACAATATTATATCACTTTCAAGCACACCATCGCCATGCCTCAGTTCTTCGTCGGCTACTTCTCAAGGATTTGAGCCATATATGTACAATCAATAAATCAATAACCAACAACTTTAACTACCTATATCTAAATATATGTATGTATATTATAATAATTATTCAAAGACATTTATAATTGTTATTTTATAGGTTGTTTTTAATATTTTAAGTGAAATACAAGAATACACAATGTTACATAATGTTTATAAGTATTGTTTTTAATTTTAATACGTATAAAGTTTTTATTTGTTTTCTTATTTGATATTTAAATTTAAAATATTAAAGTTACAAGTTACAACAAGTGAAGTTAAATAGTAATATAAATAACTTATACATATGTTATTCTGCCACGAAACAGCTCCTTCATTATTAAAAAATTCCTTATATGATTCTCTGACGTMAAATCCTTCCGCGTTTGCAAAACCACCTCCTCTTGCAATTGGTATTATATTGTTAGGTACTGGTTCTCTTGAGTCAAATTCTTTAAATGCTCGTCCATTTTCTTCTAAATATGCATCTCTTAGCATGTTATGCAAACAGCAAGCTACTGTGATTAGGTCGTCACATGTCGATGGTTCAATATTTATAGGCTGGTAAAAGACGCGAARAACCTGGCTTAATAAACCAAACGCATTTTCCGTCACTCGCCTGGCACGACTTAACCTATAATTAAATATAGACTTTCTCTTATCGTCTCTGGAGGCTTGTCTCGTATATGGTTTCATTATATGAGTGTGGAGCCTAAAAGCTTCATCCCCCASAATAACATGAGGTAAAATTGTTGATGACCCAGGCAGTTGTTTTGCTTCTGGAAAACCAAATGACCCATCTAATATTTTTTTACCCATGTTCGACTTTAAAAATATTCCGCTGTCACCTTCTCTACCATACGAACCAATGTCTACAGCAATAAATTTGTAGTTGGCGTCAACCATAGCCAGCAGTACAATTGAAAAATAATCTTTATAGTTGAAAAAAAGTGATCCAGTGTTGTTAGGACTTCTTATTCGAACGTGTTTTCCGTCAATTGCCAAAATGCAATTCGGAAAATTCCATTTTGTCCAAAATTCGGAAGCTTTGACATTAAAATCTACGGTTGAAATGTCAGGAAGAAATATAGGTGTTAAATATTTTCTTAAAGCTGATAATGTTTTTTTGACAATAAAGATTATTTTTCAATTGCCAAAATGCAATTCGGAAAATTCCATTTTGTCCAAAATTCGGAAGCTTTGACATTAAAATCTACGGTTGAAATGTCAGGAAGAAATATAGGTGTTAAATATTTTCTTAAAGCTGATAATGTTTTTTTGACAATAAGACTGATATAGCTATGTGAAATCCTAAATGCAAACGACAATGATCTAAATGATTCCCCTATTACACCAGCCGCAAAGTAAAGTCGCATTTAGGAAACCAGTCGGCACGCAGCGCTCAGTAGTTGCGACTAGTCGTTGCGGCCAGTCGTTGCGGCTAGTCGCAGATAGGAAACCGTACCTTAA